AAATGAAAAAAAAAAAAAAACCCTGCATGGCATCAAAACAGCTAAATAGTTTTATTGCGGAATTTCTTGTAGATGAATTTTTTAATAGATGTTTATTATTAAAAATTTTGGTGTCATATCTGTACATAAATATATAATTCTACATTTCACAACGGATGACTCTTGAGTCAGCTATTTGTACCTAAAAGTTAGAATATTTGAGTTGTTATCATGTTAGAGTCTGGTTAGGTTGGTAGTTTCTTTGGTCTAGGCTAGTGTTGCTAGTAGAGCATTACTAAATTGTGTAACTTCTGGATTGGTCGAGGGGCAGAGGATGATGCTGTGAGTGGCTGAGAGATGGAAATTGGGGGAGGGGAGGGGGGAGGAGTTAGAGAATGGGGGCACCTGGCTGTCTGTGGCAGTAGAAGGTTTTCTCTTTACAGAAACGATACTCACCTTTCCCTTGGTTTCATTGGGTGATTACTGTGTTATTACCTATACGTTTCTGGTTTGCATCATACTGGTCCCATCTCCTGGATTTGTTTAGAGAGGGAAAGTCTAGGGAAAGGGATCAGCATTGTAGGAAAAGGAGGGACCAATCTCACCTAAAAAAAGGGGAGTCTAAGATTGTTGTCCTGAATAATAATGAAGCAACAAAACTCCAGACAACTTTAGAAACAATGCAGTTGATGGTGGAACAAAATCAGAAAAATTGATGTCAATGCTGGAGAAAGGCCTGGGTTAGAAGCAAAAGACAACGAAAAAATGACATTAAAGCATGGCGCATGTACAAAACATCACAAAGGTCCAAGAATCAGACAAGCTTGGAATTAAGAAAATTGCAAGGGGAATCATTGGAGGAATCCCAAAAATTGGTGAAGTTGCCTGTGTTAGATGGTGAGGATCTCCATTGCTTGAATCTCTAGAGCATTAATATACTTCTAGGTACAAGATATACGGTCTGAGCTACATGTGAATCTAATCCAGTTATTTATGGAAATACCACTATCCATATTTTCAATTGGCTGCTTGAAGATGAGCTGGAGTTGACATGGGAGCAGCTCAAGTTGGAGCTACGCCGAAGGTATGAATGGAGCAACTATGAGCATAGCTATTCATCAAAGGGGCAGTATTGATAAAGTGGCCACTGCATTTGACAAAGTAATTTTTGGAAAGAACTCTTCAAGTTATAAGGGACTCAACTTAAAATGAGTTTAGCTTCCTTTTAGAAACAAATTGGCCTACCGAGGTTGTTAATATGTATGTTTAGTGTTGAATGTAGTGAAAAACTATGTGTAGGGTTAATTTCCTTGTGTCTAAAATAGACATAGGGTAATAGATTTATAATTAAGAGTTATACAAGTAAATATGACAAATACATATATTGTGATTAATAATATCTAACATATCTAACACTCTCTCTCAAGCTGATGCATATAAATCATATGTACCTAGCATGTTACAAATATAATCAATTCTAGGTCCTATAAAAACTTAGTGAAAATATCTACTAATTATTCACTTGAGTTAACAAACTTGATCTTAATGTCTCCAGATACAATCTTTTCTTGAATAAAATGACAGTTAACTTCAATGTGCTTGGTCCTTTCATGAATGAGAGGATTAGAGCTAATATGAAGAATAACTTGATTGTCACATATAAGTGTCATTTGAGTGACATCTCCAAATTGCAACTCTTTAAGTAATTGTTTAAGCCAAACAAGTTCACAAGTGGTTGAAGTTATAACTCTATATTCTACTTTTGCACTAGATCTTGTCACAACACTTTGTTTCTTCCTCTTCCAATAGATCAAGTTACCTCCAATAAAAATACAATATCTGGAAGTCGATCTTCTATCAGAAGGAGATCCTGCCTAGTCAGCATTTGAAATAAAGACAACTTTAGCCTGATTATTGTAATCATATAACAATTCTTTTCCAAGATATCCTTTAATGTATTTTAATATACGAATGATTGCATTCTAATGATATGCACATGCGAAATTAAGAAATTGACTCACCATACTAACTGCAAAGGAAATGTAAGGACGAGTAACAATAAGATAGTTTAATTTTCCAACTAATCTTCTAATCTTCTGTACTTCTCAGAATCTGAGAGAAGCCCCCCTTGATTAAGTAGGAGTTTGGTATTGGGATTCATGGGTGTGCCAATCGATTTTGAGTTCATCAACCCTCTTCTAAAATATCCAAAAACATACTTTCTATGAACAATACCATTATTAGACTGTACTACCTCAATCTCTAAAAAATATTTAAGTTTGTCAAGATCTTTTGGTCTGAAAGTGTGACAAAGATGTTGCTTCATCTGGGATATGCCATGGTGATCACTCCCCGTATGGACAATATCATTAAAATATACTATTAAATAAATACACCTAACACTTGAGTGATGGTAAAATACTGAATGATCTGCTTCACTGCGAGTCATACCAAACTGTTCAACAACACTGGTAAATTTTTCAAACTAGGCCCTAGGAGATTGTTTTAGGCCATATAAAGATTTGTGAAGACGACATACCAGTCCAGAAGACTCTCCCTAAGCAACAAAGCCTGGAGGTTGCTCCATATAAATTTATTCTTGCAAATCTCATTATGAAAAGCATTTTTGACATTCAATTGGTAAAGAGGTCATTGTTGAAGAGCAACCTTGACTATGAATAAGCGAACAAAAACCATCTTTGTCATTGGAGAAAAGGTGTCACCATAGTCCAAACAAAAAATTTGTGTATAACTATTGGCCTCAAGACAAGCTTTGAGACGGTCAATAGTACCATGAGAAGCCATAAAATGTTTAAAAGAATAAGAAAGGTATTCACCTGTATTATCACTTCGCAAAGTTCGAATAAAAATCCCAAACTGAGTATTAATTTCATTAAAAAAGGATTGGAATATAGAAAACAACTCAGATTTTTTATTAAAATCAATCAAGTATTTCCAGAATAATCATCAATACAGGTAACAAAATACTCAACCTAAATTAGATTTAACACGACTGGGTTCCCAAATGTTAGAGTGAACTAATGCAAAAGGGGACAAAGTACGTTGTGAGACACTACGAGGAAATGAACTATGATTATGTTTCCCTAATTGACATGACTCACATAAGAAGCTGGATAAATTGGACAAACTGGGAACAAGTTGTTGCAATTTGGCAAGACTGGGCGACCTAGTTGAGCATGGAGGAGAGATGAAGACTCCATAACTGTGTTAACATGTGTAAAATGTCATAGATGATAAAGATCATAAGACTCACATCTGTTGTCAATCATCTGTCTCAAACTTCGGTCATGTAAACAAACAAAATCTTTGGTAAAAGAAATAACACAATCAAGAGAACATGTTAGACGACTAATGGATAATAAGTTAAAGGGAGATCCAGGGACATAAATAACATTATCAATGGATATAGATGGAAAAAGTTTATGAGTACCAACACCATGAGGCAAAACCCTAGATCCATTAGCCATTGTGATCGAAGGTAAATTATCCGGAGATGATAAAGAAAACAAAGATTTGTTCTTAGTAATATGATCTGTGGCGCCTGGGTCAAGAACCCAATGTCTAAGAGAAATAGATTGAGTTAGGTCAACAAAAGATGTACTTGTGAGTGCAGCAGAAGTAGTGGAAATAGAGTTCTGACGATACTCATACCATTTGAAATTTTTTTGAAAATAACATATTTGTCTGTAGTATAAGATGACATAGAATCCACAGTAGATGATTGTGAGACAGCGGAAGAAGTCATAGAGGAAGTGAGAGAAAATCCTAAAAACTTTAAATAGCGCTTGGAGACTTTGTTCATGGCGATTTCAATGGCACGCGGTGGTCGCTTAGTCGAGACGAGCAGAACAGTGTGGTCGCCGTTCTGAACTGTGACTCCGGCAGCAGAGCGTCGCGCGGCAGGTGCAAGGGCAATAGTGGCGGCGACGAAAAAAGAGAACCTAAGGTCTGATACCATCTTGAATATAGTGAAAAACTAGGTATAGGTTGATTCCCTTGTGTTTAAAATACATATAGGATAATATATTTATAATTAAGAATCATACAAGTAAATATGACAAATACATATATTGAGATTAATAACATCTAAAATATCTAACATTTAAGTTGATGATTGTTTTGAGTTGTTTTATTACTAATCAGCCCCAACTTGGGTTCAATGGTTGCATGGGGCTGATTTACACTACTTTCCACGAAAGCTTTCACCCCGTTGAGGTATTGTATGGAAGGAATCCACCTTGATTACAAGTTCTTACTGGGAGAACCAAGGTTGGAAGCAGTTCAAAGACTCTATGGATGAGTCTCTTAGGCAGCTGAAACATCTTCTCAAAAGATAATGAAGGAATTGACGATTTGAGAGAGGTGCTTTGAAGTAGGTGGATGGGTTTTCTCTGAAATAGTGTCCCCAGAAGCCCTGAGCCCCTGCCATTTAAGGATACATCCTGTGTTCTATATATCTTTGTTAAGAAGGCTTTTGGGAATCATCATGTGGAAAGAGTTGCCTGTTAGGCTTGGAGGGATAGAATGTTGATGTGCTGGAGACTGCTGTGTTGTTAGCAACCAGTATAGTTAAGAGTTATTGGAAATAGGTAAGTGTCGAACTCAACCATACAAAACTGGCTTGTAAGATAAGATTTGTACTTTAATTATATATTATTAGTTTGTCATAGCTCTAATTGATGTGAGATCTTCAACAAAAGTCAAGTTCCAAAATTCAACCTTGAAGACAGAGGCTGAAACTGAAGGCGGCAGTGATAGGACACAAATTATTTAAAGAATTTGGAGATCTAGAGAGAGGTGTTGAGCCACCATGATTCAGGTGTCACGTGGGTCTAAGACTTGAAAGGTTTACACTAGGGGGGAATAGAGGGTGATACTGTGAGTGGCTGTGTTGGAAGAGAGAGAGAAATAGCGAGGAAGTTGACATGCGAGTTTGGTGCAGTTATGAGAGAATGAGATCAGAGTAGTGGAATCATCTGTGAAAATTAAGTGTATCTATTATGGAGGTGCCAGTAGCTCTCTATAGGAGACTGCTTCTTTGGCAGTATCTATCAATAGAAGCCTGGGCCTCTATACTATAATTTCCTAGTTTACTGAAATAAATACTCTCCTTCTTCCTCATTTCATTTGGTGATTACTGTGTTATTTCCTATACTGTTTCTGGTTTGCATCGGATTACATGTGTAAGTCTTCAGAATCAAGTAACTCACATTACAATTAATATAGTGTCTCTGCTGGTTGGAAGAGAGAGTGAAATAGCGAGGAAGTTGACATGCGAGTTTGGTGCAGTTATGAGAGAATGAGATCAGAGTAGTGGAATCATCTGTGAAAATTAAGTGTATCTATTATGGAGGTGCCAGTAGCTCTCTATAGGAGACTGCTTCTTTGGCAGTATCTATCAATAGAAGCCTGGGCCTCTATACTATAATTTCCTAGTTTACTGAAATAAATACTCTCCTTCTTCCTCATTTCATTTGGTGATTACTGTGTTATTTCCTATACTGTTTCTGGTTTGCATCGGATTACATGTGTAAGTCTTCAGAATCAAGTAACTCACATTACAATTAATATAGTGTCTCTGCTGGTTGGAAGAGAGGGTGAAATAGCAAGGAAGTTGACATGCGAGTTTGGTGCAGTTATGAGAGAATGAGATCAGAGTAGTGGAATCATCTGTGAAAATTAAGTGTATCTATTATGGAGGTGCCAGTAGCTCTCTATAGGAGACTGCTTCTTTGGCAGTATCTATCAATAGAAGCCTGGGCCTCTATACTATAATTTCCTAGTTTACTGAAATAAATACTCTCCTTCTTCCTCATTTCATTTGGTGATTACTGTGTTATTTCCTATACTGTTTCTGGTTTGCATCGGATTACATGTGTAAGTCTTCAGAATCAAGTAACTCACATTACAATTAATATAGTGTCTCTGCTGGTTGGAAGAGAGGGTGAAATAGCGAGGAAGTTGACATGCGAGTTTGGTGCAGTTATGAGAGAATGAGATCAGAGTAGTGGAATCATCTGTGAAAATTAAGTGTATCTATTATGGAGGTGCCAGTAGCTCTCTATAGGAGACTGCTTCTTTGGCAGTATCTATCAATAGAAGCCTGGGCCTCTATACTATAATTTCCTAGTTTACTGAAATAAATACTCTCCTTCTTCCTCATTTCATTTGGTGATTACTGTGTTATTTCCTATACTGTTTCTGGTTTGCATCGGATTACATGTGTAAGTCTTCAGAATCAAGTAACTCACATTACAATTAATATAGTGTCTCTGCTGGTTGGAAGAGAGGGTGAAATAGCGAGGAAGTTGACATGCGAGTTTGGTGCAGTTATGAGAGAATGAGATCAGAGTAGTGGAATCATCTGTGAAAATTAAGTGTATCTATTATGGAGGTGCCAGTAGCTCTCTATAGGAGACTGCTTCTTTGGCAGTATCTATCAATAGAAGCCTGGGCCTCTATACTATAATTTCCTAGTTTACTGAAATAAATACTCTCCTTCTTCCTCATTTCATTTGGTGATTACTGTGTTATTTCCTATACTGTTTCTGGTTTGCATCGGATTACATGTGTAAGTCTTCAGAATCAAGTAACTCACATTACAATTAATATAGTGTCTCTGCTGGTTGGAAGAGAGGGTGAAATAGCGAGGAAGTTGACATGCGAGTTTGGTGCAGTTATGAGAGAATGAGATCAGAGTAGTGGAATCATCTGTGAAAATTAAGTGTATCTATTATGGAGGTGCCAGTAGCTCTCTATAGGAGACTGCTTCTTTGGCAGTATCTATCAATAGAAGCCTGGGCCTCTATACTATAATTTCCTAGTTTACTGAAATAAATACTCTCCTTCTTCCTCATTTCATTTGGTGATTACTGTGTTATTTCCTATACTGTTTCTGGTTTGCATCGGATTACATGTGTAAGTCTTCAGAATCAAGTAACTCACATTACAATTAATATAGTGTCTCTGCTGGTTGGAGCCTTTAGATTGTCTGCTGAACATAATTTCTGTATTTCTTGGCTCCTTTATCTTCACGATAATCTTGACAGGATATATGCTTCCCATTTTGCAGGATCACCATTTTTTAGGCATGACAGTAGGTTGCGTGCCCTACGCTTCCTTGACCACATGCTTGTAAGATTTTTCAGCTGTCTATTAGCACTCCAAAATGGATAACATGCAAATTTTAGAGTTGAATTTCTTGATGTGTCTTTTTTTCCTTTAGGAAAGAGATAACATGCAGAAATCAGAGTTCTTAAAAGCATTGTCAGATATGTGGAAAGATTTTGATTCCCGTGTACTGCGATACAAGGTATGCTATATGCAGTTTAGATGAAAATTGTGTTTCATTTATGCTAGTCAGTTTAATGTAGGTCTCTCTCCTAGTTGCTTTCATTCACAATTCAGTATACTCTTTCTCCCTCGATTAATTAGTCTTGTGCAAAATAACATTGATAGCCAATATGGTCTAATAATCTTTCATGAATTTTAAAATTATGTTGCATGTGTTAAACTCATGTTATGCTGTTTTCCCCAAATGTGTGACTAAATGTGGTTGCTTCTTTGAGTTATGATTTTCCATTAGTGTCATTAATGTAATTTGGGCAAATTAAATTCCATGCAGGTCCTTCCACCTCTTTGTGCAGAACTTAGGAATGTGGTGATACAACCAATGATTCTACCAATGGTTCTAACCATTGCAGAGTCTCAGGTACTACCCTCTTTCATTTTCTCACTTCCATTATATAAATTTTTTAGTCTCAGAAGTTATTAATACATTACTCTGATTTTTATTTTTTTTAATTTGGTTTTGATGGAGCCCAGTGGTGTGGTTTGGTTCCTATTCTAACCCCACCCTCCTTATTAGTTTGGTGCAAGTGTTGTTGCAGTTTTTTCTTCAGTTATCTTACAGTTATTAGGTAATTATGATTGTAACTGTTGCTCAGTTATTAGGTGGTTATGTTTGTAACAGTTCCTTATTTCAATCTTTATATTTTGGGTCTGGTATAATTGATCTTACAGTGTCTTTTGATACAGTTTTTGTTTTGTATATTCAAATGTATTGAATATATTGAATACACTAGTTCTTCTATTATTTTTGTGTGTTTTTGTTCTCTCCTCAAACTCTAATATGGTATCAGAGCTTTATTACTAATCCATATGATGGCTAATCCTATTTCCCACCCATTTTTTTCACATTTCCTATCCAAAAAACTGGATGAATTCAATTATCTGCATTGGAAGCAGCAGATTAAACCCATTATTAATTCCCATAAACTTCACCGATTTGTTGTCAATCCTGTTATACCTCTCAGATGCCGATCGTGAAACTGGAACTGTTAATCCAGCCTATGAAGAATGGGAAGTTCAGGATCAATTCTTACTACTCATGGCATTCTTCACATGATTATTTGCCCTCATACTCATCACCAAAATGGTGTTGTTGAATGCAAACATAGACACATTACTGAACTGGGTTTAACTTTATTGCATCACGCTTCTCTCCCCTGAAAGTTTTGGGATTTTGCCTTCTAAATAGCAGTTTGTTTAATTAACAGATTACCCTCTGCCTCATTACAGGTCAGGGTGCCTTACACTGTTTTGTGCATCACCCATCCTGACTACTCCTTTATGAAAGTCTTTGGTTTTGCCTGTTTTCCTTTTCTCCGCCCGCATAACTGTCATAAACTAGATTTCCTCTCCCAAGAATATGTGTTTCTTGGTTATTCCCCTTCCCATAAAGGTTATATGTGTCTTTTCCTATCTGGTCGTCTTTACACATCTAAGGATGTCATTTTTAATGAACTTAGATTCCCTTATTCTGATATGTTTTTTCAGTCTGCTATCTCTGCACCTTATCCCAATAAGTATTTCACTCTCACACCAAATCTCTCTCCTTCCCTTCCATCTATTTTTGCTCCTCGGTGTGCTCCTAATGCTTCTGCATCTGTTCCTTCTATGTCTCCTCCTATCTCTAGGCCAGTTAATACTCATTCCATGCAAACCAGGTCCAAAACTGGCAAATCTTCGTTATTACTAACTCATATTGAACCTTCAAGTGTCTCACAGGCTCTCAAGAATCAGCACAGGGTTGCTGCTATGCAACAAGAGTTTGTTGCACTTCTTCATAATCACACTTGTGATTTGGTTCCTCTCCCTCTTGACCGCAGGTTGCAAATGGGTGTTTCGGATTAAAGAAAATCATGATGGTTTTGTTAATAAATATAAAGCATGATTGGTTGCCAAAGGCTTCAATCAAGTTCTAGGATTTGATTTTCATGTGTTAGAATTATTATTAGTTAGTGGTTAGTGGTTAGTAGTTAATAGTTGGTGGTTGGTGGTTGTTAGTAGTTGGTGATTGTTGTTTTAAATGTTGTAATCCTATATATATATGAGATCATAGAGTGGAGTAATGCATCCCACAAAATTAGAAATCTTCTTTTCACTCTCTTTACTCTCTTAACTTGGTATCAGAGCAGGTTGGTCCTGCTATGCCTGTCCGGCCACCGTCCGGCCATTTCTGGTCACCGTCCGACCATTTTCCGGTCACTGTCCAACCACTTTTCGGCAACCGTCAATCCCCCGTCCAGTCACCTTTTTTCTGCTGCCGTCTGACGACTTTTCGACCACCTTCCAGTAACCTTCCAGCTATCTTGGGTGTTCTCTTTCTTACAGGTTCCATTGTCTCCATCTTACATCTACATTATTTAAAACATGTCGTCAGGGCCCACAACCTCCTTTTCTGGAACTCCCACAGCTGAGAAATTAAATGGAAAAAATTACATGTCTTGGTCCTCTTCAGTGGAACTTTGGTCCCTTGGACAAGGGTTTCACAATCATCTAGAAGAAGACGAAAGTAAGATACCAGAAGATCAGGCTCAACAATGGAAAAAGCTTGATTATCAACTCTGTGCTCTACTGTGGCAATCAGTAGAACCAAATATTTTGAACACTCTCGGATTCTTCAAAACATGTAACTCTTTCTGGAAAAAAGCTCAGAATATCTTTGCAAATGATATCCAACGTCTCTATGATTCCGCTAATCGATTAGCCTCTCTCAAGCAAGTGGATAAAGATATGATGACCTTTATTGTTGAAGCTCAATCAGCAGTTGAAGAATTAATGATGTTCTTAGAGCTAGATTCGTTAGAGGAGATAAAGCAAAAGTTGGATAAATTGTATATGGTTATGACTCTCCGGGCTATGAATTCAGAATTTGATCATGTTAGAGATCAAATTTTAACTGGACAAGAAGTTCCTTCTATGGAGAGTTTGACTACAAGACTGCTTCGTGTTCCAACTCTCAAAGGAAAAAATAATCAAGAACTTGTTGAATCTTCTGCTATGATTTCTACCTGTGGAAGAGGAAGTCGCGGCACTAGAGAAGGACGTGGAGGTAGAGGATGTCCTCAGTGCACTCATTGCAAGAGAATGGGTCATATAGTGGAAAATTGCTACTCTTTGCACGGTTTTCCTGATAAAACTGTCAATTTTTACAAATCTGAAATGGTTGAACCCAAGTTCTCTCACAAAGAATATCAGGAATATTTGAGGTTGAAATCCAGTAATCTAGCACAGTCATCAACAACCCCAAATTCATCAACAACTTGCATTTCACAATCTGTGGAAAGTCAAAATCCATGGATTATTATTAACTCAGGTGCTTCTGATCACATGTCTGGTAATGCCTCTTTGTTCTCTTCTCTCTCATTTCCTAAAACTCCTCATCTCATAACCTTAGCCAACGGATCTAAAGTAGCCTCTAAAGGAACTGGTCAAGTCTCCATTTCTCCGTCTTTAAACCTAAAATTTGTTCTTTTTGTTCCTTCATGTCCCTTCAGTCTCATTTACCTAAGTCAATTAACCAAATTATTGAATTGTTTAGTAACCTTTAATGCCAACTCTTTTATTATACAGGAACGTGGTACGGGTCGACAGATTGGCGAAGGACATGAATCTGGAGGCTTATACTACCTTGGTACTAAATCATCTGTATCTTGTGTTGCATCCTTGTTTCCAAAACTATTACACGAACGGTTAGGGCACCCTCACTTATCAAGATTAAAAAAAATGGTTCCTGAACTTCAGACTCTTCAAGATTTTGAATGTGAATCATGTCAACTAGGGAAACATACTAGGTCCTCTTTTCCTAAACGTTCTGAATCTAGATGTGACTTTGTCTTTTCTCTTGTTCATTCTGATATTTGGGGTCCTAGTCGTGTCTCATCCTTTGGCTATAGATATTTTGTTACCTTCATTGATGAGTTTTCTAGGTGTACTTGGATTTATCTAATGAAAGACCGTTCTGAATTATTACCTATCTTTAAGTCTTTCCTTAACGAAATCAAAAATCAATTTGGAAAAGTAATCAAAGTTTTACGAAGTGATAATGCCAAAGAATACTTTTCTACTGATTTCTCCACTCTCTTAAGCTCCCAAAGCATTTTACACCAGTCTACTTGTCCTCACACACCACAACAAAATGGTATAGCAGAACGAAAAAATAGACATTTGGTTGAAACTGCTCGTATCTTATTACTTGGTGGAAATATGCCCGTTCATCATTGGGAAGATGCTATTCTTACTCCATGTTTTCTCATTAACAGAATGCCATCTTCTTCTCTTAACAATAAAGTTCCACACTCTATTTTATTGCCAAAGGACCCACTCTTTCATGTTTCTCCTTGTGTATTTGGTTGCGTATGTTTTGTTCATGATATGTCTCCAGGTTTAGATAAACTATCAGCTAGAGCCATCAAATGTGTCTTCTTGGGATATTCTCGTCTTCAAAAAGGATATCGATGTTATTCTCCTGAAACTAAGAAGTACTACATGTCTGCTAATGTCACTTTTTTTGAGTCAACTCCCTTCTTCCCTTCTTCTATGCAGGATATTAGTTTGGTCCAAAATGTCCTACCTATACCCTTAGTGGAGCCATTTGTACCTCCTCCTGACACCCAAAATACACCGGAATCCTCATCACTGCCTCTTATTACCTATCAACACAGGAGCCAAATGATCAGTCCCATGTCCCAAGATGAGTCTTCCTCAGCAGATCCTTATCAATCATCCCCTGATACCACGATTCCTGATAATGATGACTCAAGTTGGCCCATTGCCATTAGCATAGGTACTCGCACTACTCGTAATCCACATCCCATTTACAATTTTCTTAGCTACCATAGATTGTCTCCTTCCTATTTTTCTTTTGTTTATTCTGTATCCACTATTACTATTCCAAAAAATGTGAAAGAGGCACTTGATCATCCTGGATGACGATAAGCCATGATTGATAAAATGCAGGCTCTTGAGCACAATGATACATGGAACTTAATTCCTCTTCCACATGGGAAGAAGATTGTTGGTTGTCGTTGGGTCTATGCCATTAAAGTTGGACCAAAAGGTGAAGTTGATCGACTCAAAGCTAGATTAGTAGCAAAAGGCTATACTCAGATCTATGGCCTTGACTACAGTGATACTTTTTCTCCTGTGGCCAAAATGACTACTGTTCGACTTTTCTTTGTTATGACAACTATCCGTCATTGACCTCTTCATCAGTTAGATATCAAGAATGCATTCTTACATGGTGATCTTGAGGAGGAAATTTATATGGAGCAACCTCTTTGTTTTGTTGCTCAGGGGGAGTCTAGTTTGGTTTTTAAGTTACATCGTTCTCTCTATGATCTCAAACAATCTCCACGTGCTTGGTTT